CCTCATCATCACCCCCCAATTATCTGCAACTAAGTCAAAGGACTTGCCCCAGGATATTCTCCAAAATTGCTGATTGTATTTTTACTTCTCTGTTTTTTCAGTAGTGGGATGTTTGCATGCAAGCATGTGTGCAGGAGTGGTCAGCAAATGGAGCACAGGACCCCTTGGGTGGGAGGGAAGATCAGAAGGAGACCTCACACAGCCTCCTCCCAAGTGAGCTGGTGAAAAGACTGGTGGGAGCAAACATGTGCTTGTTCTGCCCTGAACCTCATCACCAGGAGCCAACCTGCCATAAAGCTCCTTAATCTTCCAAAGAGTTGGAAAACAAAATCATATCTTTCTAAAGGATAACCAGTTGTTTGACACAGTTATATACTCTGGGTAATGTTTTGAGCAAATGTTTAATTACAAAAGGATGGTACCTAAATTGCCATAATTAATCTGAACCTGTGCTAGAGTTCACAGCAGCCAAGACTTTTTACACTGCTGAATCACTCTCATTGCAATACTCAGTCCTTAAATAGCAGGAAAAGCTGCTATTAGAAATCTCTCTAATAGCTTTTATGAAAGCTATGGCTAATTTAGAGCCCAATTAAACCCAGAAATCCAATTATTTCTGAATAACATAATTGCAAAAATGTAACTAGCACTGTAAGTATGCACTAGCTATTATGGAAGATGCTTTAATAAAAGAAAATCAGCTCTGAGCCACTGAAAAGATATGTTCTTATCATAAGGATGGTCTGCAAATTTCAAAATTCTTCTATTTGCACTGCTTTGCATTGAGGGTATGTAAACCTTGGTGCTGTGTAACTGCTACTACATGCATTTTATGGGTCCAGCTGGAGAGCAGATAAAAGATGCTAGAGCAGAGCCATTTATACAGGCGCTTGAACCATCTCTGTTGAATGAGACAGTAATTATTAACTAATTGTGGGTGTGATTGTGAGTCTGGCCACCTACACACAGAAAGGTCAGAGAAATCAAGGCAGACCAAGCTCCTACCACAGTCTGACAGTTTTGCTCCTGCTGGGAAGGAGAATCACTGTTAGGCTCCCCTGGCTTTGCTGCTGTCCTGGTGGGCAGTGGTGGAACTCAGCCCTGAGCTCTGCCCCTGGAGCCCGTGGCTGCCCTGATGACCCCATGGGGCCACGGGCTCGTAGCACATTTACCTCAGCTCTGCAGTGCCTCGGCAAAGGCAGTGGTGTGACACCCTGCTGCTCCTCAAAAGCCCTCCCAGGCAGGCAGCACAGAGAACCTCTGCTTTCTCAGCACCGTGAGACACTACAATCAGTTTTGTGCGCTCAGGACTTTGCATGGATTATAGGCATGAACGAGTGAAGAGGAATTATGATGGCATTGGAAAATACTTCATTGTGGTGGATACCCCATGTGTGAAGACGCGAATCTTGACTCCATGTTTCAGAAGGCTGGTTTATTATATTAGGATATATATTATATTAAAATAAGGTACTAAAAACTATACTAAAAGAATAGAGAGAAAAGGAGTAATCAGAAGGCTAGAAAGAACAGGAATGGAATGCAATAACAAAGACTTTTGACTCTCGAGAGTCCGAGCCAGCTGACTGATTGGTCATTAATTAGAAACAACCAACATGCACCAATCACAGGTGCACCTGTTGCATTCCACAGCAACAGATAGTTATCATTTACATTTCTTTCCTGAGTCTCCTCAGCTTCTCAGGAGAAAAAAATCATAGCAAAGGATTTTTCATAAAATACCATGGCTACACTTCATAAACTCAGGGACAGGCTTTTGCTTTGACATTTCCATGGAGGTAAGTGAAGCAGAGGTTCACCTAACCTATCTATTTGCAGTAACTGTACACTTTTTTACCCCCAAAGCAACATTTCAAATTTCAATTACTGTTTAGGAGAAATTTCCCTCCTGAATCAACTGGTGTTTAGCTGGAGTGAATATTTTCCTTGTTAAAATTTAGCTTACTGATTTCATTGCAATCTGTGTTGTGAAAGATAGCATGAATAAAGCCCTGACCCTAAAGGAAGGCGGAAGGAGGAGAAAGAATGGCTTGCTGAAGGAGTAAGGATTTTCAAGTTGTTATATATGTTAATCATCTCATCTGCTCAGTCATATGCAAGGAAAAAATATTTCATTAAATGATTGAGTTCTATTACAGAAATACCTGCTAAAAAACCAAATAACTTCAAATGAGTAGAGGGCTGGTGCAACAACGTTATCAGCTCAACACTGTACATAAAACCTTACACACCATACCTCCTAATTCATGGAGTTCAAGGTCATTCAAGATAAAATATTTAGGTTTTTTTAAAGACATCTGAGTCATGAGCATTTAAAAATTTATCTGAACAGAGCTGACAGAAGGAATTTGTTATTTCAAGTCTGGAAACACAATAAAAGAAATGAAATAGATTCTAACTCCAGAGTATAAGGTAAGAAAAGAAAGTGCTCATTTTCCATATAAGATCCTTTCAATTTGGCATGCTTAGACACAGTAACTTTGTTTAATATGTGTTGGAAAATAATTGCCTTAAAGGGAGTTTTAGAGGGTTAGTAGATGTTTAGTATTGAAAAAATAACTTCCTGTGTACTATTTAAGAACAGAGCTTGTGATCCCAATTTGAGACCATATTGGTGCGAGAAAAATACATTTTTGTTAATGATGCTTTTAGCATGAGGGAATCTTTGAAAGCTGCATTTTCAAATATCAAGGTTAGAAGAAGGATTTTTTCAAAAATTGTCAAATCAGTGATGAGGAAAAGATTGCACAAATAGAGTGCATTAGCATTGTTGCCTTGCAAAATCAACTAAAGAAATAATCTCAGAGAAATGGAACGTTTCTGCTACTGCAAAACATAATGATTTGTTGGACAAACATGTGGTTGGACAAACTCAGCCAGAATCCAGTTTGAGTGAATTATTGGTCTTTATAACCAAGTACTTAGTCGAATTTTTTTTTAATTTGGTTTTGCCATCACGTCAAATTTACATGTTTGAGGTATAATTAGCCAGTCTGATTACAAAAAAAAAATTACTATAATTTAAAAATATAAATTAACATAAAATGACAAGCATTAAAAGTTAATATCAACTCAACATTCATTCTTTTGCATTCAAATGAGTCTTATTAAGTTATTATGTCCATCTAAATATCAGTATAATTTTCAAGTAATAGACAATGTGCTTCATAATCTGCCTCTCTCCCTAGCCCTCTATTAGCTGTATTGTTTCTCTACAGTTTTTTACTCCAAGAAACATTTTAGAATTACATAGTTTCATTTTTCACATGAAGTGCATAACTTGAGCTTAAAAATACAATTTTGATGTGCCCTAGACCTTTAGTGACCATGTGTTGACTCTAAAAATACTGGTACAGGCAATGGCCTTTATTTGAAATGCACATAAAGAAGCAATAACTGAATTTTAACAAGCAAATCAACCCAATTGGTTTAGAATTATGATGCTTGGCTTTCTAATGCATATTCAGAGTGGTAGAAAAGAAAGTATGAAATTTAATTGTACCATAAAACTGTCATGAGAAAATATATACTGAATATCAAGCAGGATTACATTTCTTCAGTAGTGATCATCTGTGGAAAACTACTTAAAGAACTGCTGCATTTCTAATGCTGAATTTCTGGTCAGAGAACAGTTCTAAGTGCTACATCACTGAAAAAAGTGACAAAATATTATTCATTTGGTTCATCCTCTAGAGTTGAATGTTTCTGCACAAACTCTGGTACTAATGTCTGTTTGGTACAAAAGGCAGAATAGTGAAAAAAGTAAATGTGCTCCTATAGTGTTTTCTGGTTTTACAACACTAGCACAAGACCAATAGCAGTCTGGAAGGTACAAAACCAGAGAAGTATTGACTGATACCTGCAAGGGCCCTTTGAACAATTTGTATTATTTATTTGCCAGACAGCATAATCATAAAATTTATACTGTCCCTCATTACATGTGGAAACACACTGTATCATAATTTCTATTACACTGCAAGCAATTAATTTTATGCACATACATGAATTCAGCCATTGAAACTATTTTTTATCTTCACACCCTTTAAGAAAGTAAAATGAAAGGCTGATGTATACAAAATAGAATCATTGCATAGAACATGGCATGAGTACATGAGTATATATGCATCAAGACATCTCTGAAAAACAAGGTTTCATATTTTAGTAAAGTGTTTTTACATCAATGGACATGCTGCATGAAACTGACTCAAATGTCTTGGAGTCCAAGGAAACAATCCTGAGCTGACTTGGGTGGCCTTTAAACTGAGTTCTGCCTGTTGCTACTGATTTCACCAAGATGAAGATAGAGATGAGCCCATTAGACAACCAGTAAATTAAATTTACTGATCATACTTCCAGTTATATATATTTAAGTGCACAACTAGTTAGTGCAATCTACTATGATGACAACTAATGATCCAAAACCATTAAAGAAAAATAATATTAATGATATTATGCCTTGTCACTTCACCAGAAGTAAGTTTAAAGTAAAGAAGATACTGTTGTCCTCATTTTTTCTCTAGGCATTATTTTATCAAGCAAGAAACTCTTGTGGAGTCAGTATTTGTAGCCTACTGGGGTTTTTTATCTTTCTTTTCTTAAGAGACAGATAGCATTCCTCTATTATTTTTATATATGACAGTATTGCGAAGATGTTCTTTACTGCCAGTACCTTGATCTCAAAAGCACAGGACCCAGTTTGAAAATGTTCCTGAATAACCTGTTGTTAAGTGATACATTCCTCCTCTTCCCAATACGGAGACATGGCAGTGGAGAAGTTGCATTTGTTGTGCCCAACTCTGCTTCCAGAGCTGATTGAAAATAGGAGGTGTGGGGGTGCATAAAAGCATTCTCCGTGCTGTTCACAAAGAAGTAAAATCTGAATTGATCTTTGATCCAGCTGGTGCTGACACAGTTTCATCAGGCAGAAACAAAAATCCATAATGAAAAAAAATTGTTACGTGAATTTCGTGAATTTGCAGGAAGACACTTATGAGGGATTCTGTCATCTCTGTCCAGCTGAGAAGTCTTCTGATCACCTGCCAGTGACCTTGTCAATGAACCCTGTGAGCTGTGGAAGATATAGTGAGTATCCTGATAAGCAAAATTGTCTGACCAATAAAAAAAGAACAATTCAGCCAGTGATGATCTTAACCTCACAGACAGAGATCAGTGTGTTCATAATAAGTGGCTTAACTTGCTGGCATAATTTTCTCCTTACAGTGATTTGCATCACTTGAATTGAAGGCTGTCGTGCCTAATCAAGTGCCTTGGGTCTTTGGACGCCTGTGGGATGTATTCAGTGGTGAAACTTCTCATACAGTCTTTGCTTTTCAGTATGCCAGACCAGAGCGCAGTCCCCCTGTCAAATCAATGAAAAATAACACCTAATACTGGACACATGGGTGCTTCTACCCTCAGGCCACTGCTTCAAATCCAGCACAGTGTCCAGTCCTATTCTGCTCCAAAGACTGTTACCAAGCAACAGGTGTCTGGTGGTCTGGTTTCACTGAGGAAGTTGTATTGGCCTTTATCTAGGGAAAATGTGCTTACATGGCTGCTGACATGCCCTTCTCACAGCAGAAATATGGAGTACCTGAGGGACTCCAGAGAGTAAATTGCCATTTCAGCCCCAAAGGTAGTCCTTCCATAGCATGTTTTGTTGGAGGCACAGGCCTGTATGCCCCAGTCTTGGTTGTCTTATGCCTTTTCTGAAGGATGATAGGACTCTCATCAGGGCATTTTGTGAGAACATGGAATAGATTTTGAAAGAAAATACTTCCATTTTTTCCAACACAAGGAAATGATATCACATCTACGATACCTATGCAATTCACCATTGATATTTCTGATGTCTTTTTGCCAATCTGCAGTCTCAGGGGTTTCGAGAAGACCTGTGATCTCCTCCAAGCACTTGAGAATCTGAGAGATGCAAGAGGCACTGTGAGAGAGATGAGACCAAAGTGAAATAATCCACTCATGGTAAGCTGTGTTTTGATCCCATGTTCTGTTTCCTACTGTGCACATGGTTTTGGGAATTTTTCTTAAACATGTAGTCCATTAGAAAAAGCTTCTCTCATCTGACAGGTGGAGGCTGAATCAAGGAGACTGAGGAAGGGGATATATAGAAAAAAGCTTGCAATTACACTGTATGATGTAGTAACATACAGGGCTAACAGACGTGTGCATGAACTTCCTTAGTACCTCCCCAAAGAAGTCAATTCCTGCACACTACTTTCACACATTCCTTCACTTCCCTGTGGGAGAGGACACACACAAATACTCATTTTTCTTCCCACGGTTGGAGTTGGATGCCTGTTTTTTGAGCAAGTCTTCCCCATGAGTTTCAGCAGACTCAGGACAATGCGGTGAACCAACACACTTGTTAGCTGGGAAAACACCCCTTAAGCTTCCTTAAGAGCAAGCTACAGACCATCACCAGCACACCAGAATTGCAGAAACTGCCTTACTTGTTAAAAGTGTGGTAGTGTGCTTGATTACATTTACATTCATAGTTAATTGCTGGCATTGCTGAACATATGAAAAAATAATTATGACAATGGTGCTGGTTATTTTTAAATGGCTATATGAATATACATTTTTTAAATGACAATGTTAGGCGCATGTCTTTATAAAATGAAAAATGTATGTCTGCTATTCATTCATTAGTGAAAAATTTGCATCCTCAGTAAAATATTTAGCTTTGATTAAAAGAAGGTTCATTACTTTTCTTAAGCAAAAACACAGCATGGAGTGGAAATACTCCCTGAGTTTTTGTTGGCAGTGTGCTAGAACGGTGAGCAACACAGCTGGGAATGCTGAAGACCCAGATGTTGTTCATGCTTCTGCTACTCCCATCAGCAGAAGGTAAATGTGTTTGTGTAAGGAAAGGGCAAACAGACCACTCTGTGTGTATTGAATTTTTAGAAAAAATATTATTGAAAATATACACTGAGACCTGTTTCAAAGCATACTAGCAGGACACTGAAAGTTATGTTCTGAGGCTCTCTTAAGCTCCTTACTTCTTAATCTCCCGTCAAAAAGATTGCTGACTGTCCTTTCGGTGCAATGCAAGAGTTAGAAGGTTGAGTGATAAGAATCCTGATCTCTCTGTCACAGATGCAGACTTTGACCCAAAGGTGAAAGGTGTGTGAGTACCTAGCTTAGGAAAAGAACTTCATTGTCCAGCAAGAAATTAAGAAATCTGTGAATATGAAAAGAGTGTCATTGAATATTTGTGACTCTCAGGCAGGAAAATTGGCAAAATAGAGGAGATGAACAAGGAGTTCATCTCCTTGTGTAGGGTGTAGGGTGGGGGAGCATCATGCTGGAAAACATGATGGAAAGGATCTCCAGCAGTGTGATCTCTATTTGCAATGGTAATTTTCTACTCTGGAGACTCTGAGCAGCAGTAACTTAAAAAAGGTTCTTCAAAAATCTCTTTCTTCTTGTACACTGAACTGACATGGGGCAGGGAAAGTGAAAAACCGTTGCCCTTACGCAGTTACTGCCAGCATGCAATGCACTAGCATTATTGTCCAAGAACACATGCCTTTCAAACTTTCAGTTATTTCTTGGTTTTGAGTACTTCTATGAAAAATTGTATGCTGGGGGAACTTTTGGCAAATTCCAATTAAATATTTTTCTTTGTGATTTCTTTCTCCAGACAGTGCTATGATGTACTTGGTGAGGCAGCAAGGCCCCAACATTGAAAATGTAGGTTTAATTAGTAACAGTGAACTTCTCCTACATGCTGTCACTAAGCTCTCTCTGTGGTGTTTTATTGGTGGTAGGACTGCTTTTATCACCACAAGGATATCTGCAAAGCCCATTGAAGTCAGGGCATATTAACAGGCACAGTGAAGGCAAAAATGACATCCCTTGAAATGGGAGCTAGTAAGACACTTCTAAAGCTGTCATTCTGTGTTATTTGCTGAAAGCTGGAACTTCTTCAGACTAGGTGACAGTCCAGAGGGAACACATCTTTTTCATAAAGTTCTTCAAAATTCATTTCTGTATCATGTAATGATAACAAAAATAACCTTTCAGTGTATTCTGGCTAACAAGTCACTTGCAGTTTTGCTAGTGAAATTCAGTGGCAATTGGATCAGCCTCACAGTGAAGAAAACCTTACAATAGCAGCTAAGGGAAATAAGAAGAATGAACTCTTCTGGTCCCTAAAGACTTTAAATCTTCCAAGCATTTGCTTTATCCTTGTTCTCTTTTGGAGGTGAGTGGAATTCATCCTCGTTGCTGAAGTTGCAGTAGAGCTCTGCTGCCTGGGTGATTGCACGAGGGATTTAGAGATCAGGATCCAAACCAAGCCTCAGCATCTCAGTTCCTTTCTTCGGTAAGTGCTTCTTTTGTATGAAAAGACAGAAAGCTATATTGTTGAAATGAATGACAAAACTCCTGCTGCCTTCATAGAGGCTCATTTTCATTCTAAAAAGTGATGGTATATTTAGTGCTGTTAAGAAAAAAATTCAGTAGGAATCTCCTAGTTAACTAAATGTTGATTGATCCTGGACATAATCTTAAATAAAAACTTATTTCATTATTCAGATCACAAAGAAAATCAGGTGAGATTAAAAATCCTGGGAACTTTAAAAGTAAATACTTATGTGCCTTAGAGGCAGTCATCTTCTGGTGCTGGAGCTATCCAGACTCACATAGTTACCTGCTGAGAATGCCCCCTCACTCAAGAGCACTATAAACTTGCTTATTCTACAGAAAAAAAAAAGGAATTTACTTTCCAGTAACAGATGGACAACTAACACTTTTAACCTAGAGATAAAATCGTGATGGTTGGCAGGTCACAAACCCACAGGTAACAAATTTAGCATGTGCTTTCAGTTGTGTTCCTGGACACAGGAAGGGGAGTAGGAGCATTGCTTCTCTGCTCCCAGTGCTTGGCTCTGGGGAGGAGGAGGACTATGGGCTAGGATGGTGAGAACCAGGTCCTTCATGAGGAGCAGGTGCTGGAACAAAGTACCTGGACAAGCAGGACGTGTACATGAGATCCTGAAGGACAAGGATGACAGTGAATAAGTTAGGGCCTGTGGATATCAGCAGGACAATGGGCTTGTGAGGTTTGGGGAAGCAAGGCCTGGAAATATATGGGACCCAAGGACCTGCTCTGAATATTACAAGACAATGAACACACAGATGGCAAACTCATCAGTTAAATGTGGGCTTCAGTAAATACAAGGGCAGCTGGGAGAAGAAGGAGGCAATCTGGCTGTGAAAGCAAGTACAAGCCTGAGCTGATTATTGTACATTCACATCCACCTGAAGTGTGAGAGGTAGCACTCGTGACAATCTGTGTTCCACTCACCATGCTGCCTGTGCACACACAGAGGCACTGTGGGCTGACCCTGGCCAGCAGCAAACCTCCCACAAAAATGCTCACCCACCCTCCTTTCCCAGGAGGGCAGGGGAGAGAACAGGAAGAGAAAAGGCAAGAAAACTCAGAGATGAAGATAAAGATGTTTAATAAGTGAAAAAACCCAGGCAAAACATAGTGATGCAAAGGCAATAATCACTCATCACCTCCCACCAGCAGGCCGATGCCCAGTCAGCCTATGAGCAACATCAGCTTTGGAAGCCAAAGCCCTTCCACCTCTTTTTTACTCTAACTCATTGCTGAGCATGACCTTGTATAGCATGGAGCATCCCTTTGGCCAGTTGGGGTCAGCTGTCACAGCCACATCCCTTCCCAAATTCTTCAGCCTACCCACTGCAGGGTAATGAGAGGGCAGAGCAGGAGAGAGAAGGCCTTGATGCTGTGCAAGCACTCCTCAATAACAGTCTAAACATTGGTGAGTTCTGGACATTTTTTGGTTCAAATCCAAAGCTTAGCACCATACAGACTAAGAAGAAAGTTAACTTTCCTTGGGGCAGACCTGTTACAGTATGACATGATGTTTACTTGCATTATGCTGGGAGTGTGAAAAGCCTTACTGAAGCCTTATTAATTCAGAAAAAAAAAATAGGAAAAATTATCCCTTCCTTTGTGGAAAGAGGAGACAGTACTGTTGTACCCCAGAGCTCAATGCTACCTTCAAGTCTGGCAGACACTGAACCAGAGCATCTCAAATATGGCTGCTCTGTGTCTGAGGGATTTCATGGACTAAATCTGTGCATCATTACTCTGACACTTTCAGTTCACATCATACTTACTGTATGTACATGAACCATCTGTGTACCACACATGTCATTAATTTGGTAGGCCCTGGGGCTGCCACATTTCTGGCTAGTCAGGTGAAGCTACTGTGTAGGTATTCCAATAAGCTGCCACATATTTGGAAGTCCAGCAAATGTAACAATCTCTTTCTTTCCTCAAATTCTTCCCAGTTTAAATTTCCAGAAAATAACCAAATACAGCTGATCTGTACAATATAATCTGGTATGTGGTACCACACTTGCAAGAGCATTTTCTGTTTTGCAGTTTACCATTTCAGGGGAAGAGATTTTTGAGAGACATGTGAAAAAAAATACATGTACTTTATACATAGAAGCAGTCTTTACTCCAGTGTTTTTTAGTTGATGTGCCCAGTATTCTCAATATAAGTTTTTGTACCAGACTTTGGTGAATGTTGAGAGTGCATAATGAAGGCTTGAGAGAACAATACAGCACAAAATAGGAACAGGACAGATTGCTCTCTAGAAAGATAAAACTAAGGAAAGGAAACAAATTATGTGCTATGTGTTCAAAACCAGAAAAAATGGAAATAATGTTGTGTAAAGCCTTCTAATTTTCTCTTGTGTGCTGCTTTGCAGGTGTTCTGTGGTTGTCTTTGTAAGCTTGAGTCACTAGTGAAAACTCTCCTATCAAGTACTCCTGGACACACCGGAGCTCTTTTGCTCTTTTATCTACCTTGAGGGTCAATGTGAAAGATCTGTTTCATTCAGCTTTAGCATAAAGAAGAGTGAGAGCACACAATTATACAAAAAATTGCCATCACACACTTCACCATCCTGAGCACATGAGCACTGGGATTTTTTCCTTTCCTCTTAGGTACTGCTTTTACTGCCTGTGACAGTCTGAGTAACTTTGGGAACAGCTGGAAAGTCCTGCAGAGAACTGATGTGGAGATGTCATGTACTTCCAGCTCCTGTGGGCTGCAGTCAGAGTTGTCCCTGCTCAGTGCCAGGGACAAGGCTGCATCAGGAACAGGAATGGATGGACCCCACTATGCCTAGCTTAAGGAATGCCCCCACAAAAGAAAAAAAAGACAAGTTAGTCAGCCAGTAAAACACTGCATGATTCTGGTATAAAATTAGCAGTGATATTTAGGGAACACATTGCAGAGTGGAAAGCAGACTGGAAAATATATTTGATCATGCATAAGATGAAATAGGACAAAAATATTTTTTCTTTCTTGTTAGAGACACTTAGACAAATATCTTTTCCCCTCTTTAATTTCTTCTGCTCCTAAGAGAAACAATCCACCAAACCCTTGAAAACTTGCTAGCAGCTTAGGCTAACAATGACACAGTCAGAGGCAGGGTTTTTTTCCAGAAGGCCCTGAGTCCATGCAGTGCAGAGGATAATAGTGAATCAAGGCAAGAAAGAATATACATTTTGCCTGAAAGTGCTGTGGTTCATTTGTTAGTCTGGTCATGCTAGATATCCTGTAATGCAGGTATGAGCCTTACTGGCAGCTTCAACACCTTGTCTGCACTTGCTGCTTGATTGATCTGTAAAACTCCTCTTGGCTTCCAGGAGTTGGAAAAAATCATAGAACAAGGACCTGCAATTGAAGCTTGCAGCATGATACACAGGCAGGAGGAAGGATAAATGGATGTTGCACAGAAGTATCATAAATCTCTTGTTTTCTAATTTCTACAATTTTTTTTGTTAACATTTTTGTAATGCTTTAACACCACTAAGGGAATGGCAGAGAAGGGGAGAAATGATCGATTAAGAGTATCCAAAAGTTTGGAAAGGTCATTTAGGAAAACTTTTACAAACAGAGTTTAACATCATTGGGAGAAGGTTGAGGATCAGCAGTTGACAGCATTTTTTTTTTGAGGGCGTGAAAGTTAATAAACACTGCTCATGTAGCAATAGATGTCTGTGTCTTTGTTTGTTTGCATGTATTCTTCATACTGTTCAAGAAAGTTCCATTTGAAACCACTTTTCAAAAGGATTAAATTTCGTGCCCATGGATTGCTACTGTTTCATACCCAGTGAGACAGTGTTATTGATTCATAAAATTAGGGCTTTTGATTTAATTGAATGTGAATGTGTGTTGATTAATATTTACACACTCCTCTGAGGTGTATGGTGCTGTGCAGACTGTAGAGATTACAAGATCCCTGCCCTAGGATGCTTACAAAACAGACAACACAATGAATTACATTGGCTAAGAAGAGTCACAGCTGGGGTGAAAGAGGAAAGGAAACAACAGAAAGCAAAAGAAAGGGAATTTGTTTCATGAAATACTCATTATTTACAAAGCATGACCATCAGGTAATTTGATTCCATTTGGCTTTTATTTTGGATTTGTTTTTCACTTTGTTTTGTTAGGTTTAATGATCAGGCATGGGTGAGATAGCGTATAACACTAGAGCTGAGATTAATGATGAAAGGCCAAGAGAAAGCTGTGGCTCTTGAGGAGGGATTTCAGAAAGAAAAGCATTTGGTTTTGCACTCATTAGAAGCAGGCAGGCTCAGGCACAGAAGAGTTTCACACTTGCGTGAAACTTTAAATTAACCACATGTGTAAGTCTTTGTGGGAATAGGGGACTAATTGGGTAGATTAGAATACAATTAACTGTGAAGTCTGGCTAGCACTAACTGACAATGTTCAAAGAGTGGAAAAGCTGATAAAATCCTGCCTAGTTAAAAAAAAAGCTATGAAGACATCTGGGGAGGGAAGGGAACCCTTTGCCATTACAGGACGAGTGCCAGCAACACAAGTGAGATGAACTTGGTGCTCTCTACTGTTGCTATAGCCTTACTCAGCTACACTGGTTTTTCTTCCAACATCCATTTCAATTATCGCATAGCAACTAAGCCCACTGCTGACCTACAGAAACCTTCAGCATCCTCAGTTTTCACAAACAGGAAGATACTGTGCTGCCCCAGAGCTGGCAGGGTTGGGATGGCTCATAAGCACCTCCTCCAAAATCTAGCACACTTCATCACAATATCTACTGAAAGGTACTAAATGATTTTTACTACTAATTTAGGACATGATCACAGTTATCCAAGTGTTAAAACTTTGTGGGTATATTTCCTGAGCATTCAGTCATCTAATGAAATATAGATAAAAAGTCCTGCCAGAACTTTCTAAGAGATACCAGGTAGTTTATTTGATTCATACATAAAATTTAGTAATACATTAAAATGGAGTATCTTTCTAAGGTACTCATATTACACCTGTCAAAGATGTTAAAACCGTTCTTCATAGTTTTGAATTGTCTTAAATTTTATGAGTTTTTAAATGAAAGGCTGACTTTCCTAAGGTCATCCATCAGATAATATGATTTATAAATAGAGTTTATGTGCCCGGTATCTGCAGAAACCTGGACTTCATGCTGTTAAGTCTTAAATAATTTGCAAAACACTTGAGAAAATTGTTTAAGCATTTAATCTTTTGGAAAGATAGCATGGAAGAGTTGGACCCTGTATTTGAATCTGTTTGACCTTCAGTGCTTAATTGCCCTTTACAATGCAGTGTCTGAAGCCTTTTGTGTCTAAATGGGATCTCTGACTGAAGGGGTGTGCTGGGTTTGCTTAGCCAGGTTTTGGGTGTGTGTGTGTGTATGTGTGTGTGTCTGTGTCTGTATGGGGTGGCTTCTGTTCTTCCCCCATGTCAGAGAGGGTCAATGGCAGTCGGCTCCAAATGGATCCACTGATGACCAAGACTGAGCCCATCAGCCATGGTGGCAGTGCCACTGGGATAACAGATTTAGGAAGGGGAGAAAGTTTCTGCACAAGAGTAGTTGCACCCAAAGAGAGTACTGAGAATATTTCAGAGAAATAATTGTGCAGACGCCAAGGTCAGAGGAGAAGGAGGGTGAGGAGATGCTCCAGGTGTCAGAGCAGCCCAAGGTGAAGACCATGGTGAGTCAGGCTGTCCTTCTGCAGCCTGTGGAGGCCCATGGGAGAGTAGTGATCCACCTGCAGCCCCTGGGGGGCCCCACACTAGAGCAGGTGGGTGCCCAGCAGAGGCTGTGACCCCATGGGAAGCCCACACAGGAGCAGGCTCCTGGCAGGACCTGTGGCTGTGTGGAGAGAGGACTCCATGCTGAAGCAGGTTATCTGGCAGGATTCGTGGTCCGGGGGGGCCCATGCCTGTTCCTGAAGGACTGCACTCTGCAGAAGGGACCCACAGTGCAGCAGTTGATGAAGAACTTCAGACTGTAGGAAGGATTCACATTGGAAAAGTTTGTGGAAAGCTGTCTCCTGAACTGGGGAGTGTGAGGAGTCAAGGAGCAGCAGGGACAATGTGTGATGAACTGATCAACTGATCTCAGCCCTCATTCACTGTCTCCTTATGCCATTGAGGAGAGAAGGGAGAGCATTTGGGAGTGAAGACAGTAATCTTCCCCAAGAAGAAGGGATTGGTGTAGGGGAGATATTTTAAGATTTGCTTTTATTTCTCATTATTCCACTCTGATTTGATGGGCAATAAATTAAATTAATTTCCCAAAGTCAAGTCTCTTTTGCCTGTGATGCCAATTGCTGAGTGTTTCCTTATCCTGACCCACAAACCTTTCATTCTGTTCTCTCCCTGGTCCAGCTGAGGAGGGGAGTGATAAAGCACATTTGGCAGGCACTTTGCATACAGCCAGTGTCAGTGCATTGCAAGGAGGAAGGCAAATATTGTAATGTCTACAATGGTGGCAGTGATTGAACTGAGAATCTTTTCAGTTCAATATTGGTGAAAGTGTAGATGCTTGGAGTTGAAAAAGATATAAATAACCTACATGGATGTTACTTTGAGCACTGTATGTCAATGGCAACTTAGGTATTATTTTCAAGACAACTAAAAAAAACGAAAGTAATGCATATAAATGTCTGACCCAGACAACTTTTCTGCTTCTTATAGACAAATAATTAACCCTGTCTTTTTTGCTTTTCTTCCTAAATATGCATTCAGAAGCATATATGACCATACAGATGGTTGCATACACAAGTGTGTGGTCAGATATGATCAAAGACAACCGTCTCCCATTCTTATATCCTGAGTCAAAGTCACAACTATCATGCATCTAAAGAGAGGACTATATGTTCCTGCACAGAACTGAGAACATGTTGAAAACAATAGTTACAACATGTTTTAATAAAGCACAAAAATTGTATCATCTGAAATACAGGGTCAAAATTACTTCTATTGTCTCCTCTACCCTCACTGGAAAACTGACCAATCCATGAAGCATTTGAAAACTAGTCACTCCAGTTTCACTGTGGGTGTTGGAAAAATAATTTGAAAAAATATTTCCAGCAGAGTTACTATTGTTTATTAAGATTTTTCAGAGACTCAAAACTTTGGCTTTGTTAAACTCCCCATTGGACAATAAAATATTTTGTAAAAATGGAGCCCTGAGTGTTATGTATTAATGGTGCTTCACACTGACCTCATTGCATGCTGTCAGAAGGGTCAATTTCAAGAACTTCTTTGCCCTGTCAAGTACTTACCTGTCGAAGAAATGTAAGTGAAACCAGGGTGCTTCCTGCTTCAATACAGGCTGAGCAGTAAAAACAAGAGCTCCATGATCTAGTCCTGAAGACTAGTTAAAAAACAGAGAGGAAGCAAAGATTCCTTCTATGTTATCTGAATTTTATGATCATGTTCTTGTTTTGCACACCATCTCTGATGGTTAAAAATCACTTAAGAAGAGTCACCTCTGATTTTTTGTACAAGATATAGAGAAATGTAGCATATGATTATGTTTGTATAACATAATATAAACATGTTCATGAAGGCAATATCCATAAATGTGAGCTGCTGTTGAAGTAAATGCTCTTATTTTAGTATGTTTCTGTTGCTGTGTGTTTTCTATTTCCTTACTCCCATTTGAGCCTGCCAATCTCCATCCTCTATGCTTTTCAAACTAAAGTAACTTCTTTTTGCCAGAATCTTTATTAATTACTTATCATTAAGCTGCCGGGTATTATATTGATTTAAAGAAACTCATGCAAAAGATTAATCTGATGTGACTTTGAATTATACTAATGGCCACAAAAGGCCTGAAAATATTGTGTATGCTCTAGAATATAAATCCCTATGTGCAAATATTTCACCACTGGATTCAGCTAGAGTAACTTATATACAACCTGGGCACATTCTCATTTTAAGCACAGCTTTTCCATTTCTGTCAACAAAGGGCAAGATGTTTGCAGTTGAAGTGAGTAAAATTCTTGTCCCTCAATTTTTCACTCATTTAAAATATACTGAAATTATTTTTAAATACTCCTTTTCACAACAGGCATTAAAGAAATCCCCAAACTCTGACAGTCTTAAACAGGACATTTTTTTTCTTTTTGCTGATATAAACATCACTTCTTAATGTGGATTCAAGCATTTGACTAATTTAAAATTTATTTTTAAACTGCTGTGAAGTTATATTTGCAAACAGCTGCTAAGCACGGCCCTGTAGCTACCTTTAGCAATGTTTTATTATCTTGACTAAGCTTGTAATGGTGATTCTCTGCTCTACCACTGACATCTTAATGGCTGCCTCACCAATACTGATGTTGTAGGAAGTATGTGGGACTGACTTTTACATCTGTAATGATATGGTAATGTGAATCATTACACTGTCAGTGGTGGTTTATTGGCATTATGGTTTAAGATTATGAGGGTATTACAATGTCAGTGCAAACAAATACTGCTGCTTTTAAAGTAAGCAGATGAAAGACAGAAAAGTGCTAAAATAGTTGTAATATTAAATTCACAATAGCAAGATAGTGTTTGCTTAAGGCAGCCCCTACCCTAAATTTATGTGTTATCTGCATAATTCAGCAATACATACTGTGCAGCCGTCTCCTGGTGATTCCACAGCATCAGGCAGAAATAACAAATGACCCAGGGCAAATATGTTTGCCCATTTTGAGC